TATTATTAGCTACTATTAGTACAATGCTATAATTCTTCATGGCTAGTGCACTGTTGTCAACTCCATCGATTCTCATCTTTTTATCTTCTTCCATGCCTCTCACAATATGGTCCAGATTTCCCTTCCACTGTATACATTTCTGCCTGCTCTGTGCTATGATATTATTTTCTCTTCCCCTCCTCTTCTTCTCTCCCCTCTTTTCCTACATTCGCTCTGGGTTTATATGGTTAGTCAGTGCCACCTGTTTTTTTAGTGTTATTGTTGCTGTTTTTAATATTTCAATTTTTATTTTTGTTTTCTATTATATGTATTGTAACCAGTTCAGAGTAGTGCTGTGACACTAATGGGAGCGGGACAGAAATTAAATAAATAAATAAATAATAAATAAATAAATATTGCCCAACCTTTGGAAGATATTTTTAAGACAAATGCTAGCTAGAATCATCCGCCTTGGTAGATGTGGGAACTACATCTGTACAATACATATTGATAAATACAACCTGCATGGAATGATAATCTTTTCTACGGCCACTGGACTGATCCACAAGTTATCAAACAGGGGTCATACTTAGGCCATCATGTATCAGCTTAGTAAGTCTAAATGTGCATAAGTCTTTCCTCCATGTATGTGGTCCCTTCAGCCTTCTTATTGAAAAGTTATGATTAAACTAGAAAAATTCTAATGAACCGTGGTTTCCAGATTTGTCCAAAGTGGGAGGCAATGATTATTATCAGCCTTTGACCAAGACAGGCATGAAGAATTGGAGGGACTCACCACTGTAAGTTTTGCTGGCTGACCTGGTTAAGATGGGAGAGATGGTGGAGTCTCTCCATCTTGACCTGTGGGGGTGTCAAGAAAGAGAAAATGGGATGCAATTATCCAGGCAGGGTAAATGAGCAGCAATGAGGGTTACTTGCAGCCACAGGGATCAATCCTAGAGTAACTGCTCAAGTTAGTGGCAGGTTCATATAGAGAGACACAGTCCTTGAGATGGCTTGGACCCAAGCCACTTAGTGCTTAATAGTTTAGAACCAGCACTTTGATTTGTGTCTGGAAACAGATTGGCTGTCAATGCAGCTGCTGTAACAAGAGTGTTATGTGATCCCTGTGGCCAGCCCCAGTTAGCAATCTGGCTGCAGTGTTTTGGATCCACTGAAGTTTCCAAACACTTTCCAGAGGCAGACCCACATACAGTGTGTTACAGTAATTGACTCGGGATGTAACTAAGGCTTGTGTCACCACGGCCAGATCAGATCTCTCGAGAAATAGTTCCAGCTGGTGCGCTAGTTTTAACTAGCAAAGGCACTCTTGGCCTCACCTGAAACCTGGGCATCTAGGTTCAAAAACGAATCCAGGATCATTTCAAAGCTGCACACCTGTGTTTTTAGCAGGAGTGTAACCCCATGTAGCACAGGCTGCATCCCTATTCCTTGATCTGCCTTTACTTACTAGGAGCACCTCTGTCTTGTCTGGATAAAGTTTCATTTTATTCACCCTCCTTCAGTCCATTACTGACATCCGACACCAATCTAGAGCTGAAACAGCTTCCTCGGATTTAGATGGCAAGGAGAGACAGGGTTGGGTGTCATCCGCATTTTGAACTCCGAAATTCCAGACAACTTCTCCCATGGGTTTCATGTAGATATTAAATAATATAGGAGACATAAACAGAACCCACAGGCCAGTGGCCAGGGTGTCAAACAGGAGCTCCCCCAGCACCACCTTCTGTGTTCTCTCACTGTAAAACAGTGCCTCCAAGTCCCAACCCAGAGAGACAGGCCAGAAAGATGCCATGGTTGATGGTACTGAAAGCTGCTGAGAGGTCCAGCAAAAATGACAGGGATACTCTTCCCCTGTCTAGTTCCCGGTGTAGATCATCCACCAAGGCAACCAGAGCAGTTTCCATCCCATAACCAGGCCTGAAGCCAGACTGAAATGGATCTAGATAATTCATCTCATCTAGTAACCCCTGAACCGGAGTGCTCTGATAGTTAAGGAATTTAATGCCCCCACCTCTTAGATTCATGTTTTGAGATGGGGCATTTGTATTCCTATCTGCAGGGATACAAAAACGAATAGCAGCACCACAGATGCCTGGGGAAACAACCCTCCCCCCCCCCAAATTGGCCGGTCCACTTACTGCTTGCTGCATGGTGCATACAGCTATCATCATTCACATTGCACCAATCATGGAAGTAGGCTGTCTGGCGCCTCCCGACACAACTGACCACTCCTGCGAGGAGCCAGGATGATGAGTCTCTGCTTAGCTGCTGAGCAGGAGAGTGCTGGTTAGACTACTTCCACGATTGGCATGACACAAATGATGATGGACACATGCACTGTATGGCAAGGAGTAAGTGGCCAGTTTTGGGGAGAGGCTCTGGTATCTTCAAGCACCTATGTTTCTGATACTCATATCCCTGGGGATAGATTACAAATATCACATCTCTGTTCATGTTAGGTTAACATCCTGGCTTGTTCTGAATTTGAGAATCACATTTTTTTTTTGTTTGAGTGGAATACAATAAAATGTCTAAGTACCGTCTCCTAGTTTAATTGTGTTTCAGCTGAAATTGCCTATATGTGCAGAAAATAGCTGATGCATATTTTAGTGCAATAAGATGAGAAACAATTATCCCAACTTGGACAGTGTGGTGAGGACAACTCACATGCATTTGTCTTCTTTGGTGATGTATGACTTGTTGTAGGAGATGGGCACTTATCATGGTTCAGTGGTTTGACATGGTTTGCCGGATTGAACCCAAAGGTGTTGCATCGTCGCCCCAGATTTTTCGTGCCATCTCCTCCCACGGGCACCCATTCAGAGGAGGAGTCAGGGCAGGGAAACCTGTGCTGCTCCTTCTGATGGGGTGCATGTGGGAGGAGATAGGGCACAGAATCAGGGACACCCACACAATATCTCTGGGCCCGAACTGGCAAAGCATGCCGAACAGCCGAACCACAATAAGTGCCCGTCTCTACTTGTTGGCAAGATTTCAAATTTACATTCTGTAAACATCTGATACTGTACTTCCTTTGTAGTGCTTTGAGGCAGGCAGGTATCACTCCACACTGATGTGCTCCTTTTTCAGGCTTTCCTGTGTTTGGTATGTTTTAGTATATATGCACCATGTGTCTGCTTTCTAGCTGTGGAAATACATACGATATCAGTGTTAAGACCCTATTTAAATGAATTATTCATAAAGATATTTGGATCTCACTTATATAATTAGTTCACTTTCTTTAAGTGAGTTAAGTGAGCAAGGTCCAAATATCTTAATTCACATTCTTCAAATTTCAGGCATCTGTGTCTTGTTGTATGGTTATGGGCCTCTGTCATTGTTCATAATGCAAATAACTCAGTGGCATAGTGGAAAATTTGGAAGTGCAGGCATTCATCATGATAGTTTCCATAGCCAGTCCTTATATAAGAAGAATCCAAAAATACAGGTAGGTGGATTGATCTAGATTAATTAATGAGAAGCAGATGCTTTATACTGTAAAATTAATAGCTCTTAATTGTGTGTTCAAGCTCACCCATCTCCCACAATACTTTGCAGTACAGTATAGAGAGCTTGCAATAATACACTTTCCAGGCAAAATCCAGTTCTCTATTTACTATAGTGAAGATTGCAGCTAAACTTAGATGACACTGAGAGGGTACCTGGTGATGCCATAGTCTTTGCTATTTGGGAAGTCCTGAGATTTTTGACCTTGCAAGTCTCAGCTCCACTACACCACTGGATGCAATAATTTTCAGTTAATGTGTTAGAAATTTCTTAAAGATACTGAAGGTAGAATCTTGAACAATTCTCATGTGAAAAAAAATGGAAGGCATCTAAAGAAACGAGGGTGGCTGCACAAGGGTTTTTTGGATGAGCTGAGGTTTAAAAGGAGCATGTATAAGGAACAGAAGGTGAAGGGGGGGGGAATCACCAAGAAAAAGTATTAAGTACATAACCCCAGTATCAGTGGGGCTAAAGCTGAGCATTAACTCAGGCTTGCTAGAGACGTTGAAAATTGCTCCTGTACTTGCAAGGTTATCTTACAATTTATCTCATCTATGCACAACATTTTCAAACATAGCGCTGCTCACAAATGTTTGGAGAGTATCCCCGCCGATTAGGGGTTCCAGAGGGACCATCGCAATCAGGGTGGGGCTTCACAGACTTGCCCGGATAGCCACGCGACATCGTAGGTGGTTCGCGAGAACAGCCGAGGGGCGTGGGCAACGGAGGGCTTTTAAGGGGCATGCACCCCATTGTCTGCCTTCGGCCATATTCAGATGTACTGTACAAAACATTTTCAAACATAGTGCTACTCACAAATGTTTGGAGAGAGATCCTTGAATGTGTTGTCTTTTCTTGTCTTAATAAACAATTACAGCAACTCCAACAACTTACCATGACTCAATTAGTATTGCAAATTGCATTGATTGCTATCTTGTGTTCCTTCTTCCTTGTTATTCGTAATATAATCTGGTTTTCCCTCCTTGTGTATACATGTCTGATTCACTGTCTACTGTTAGACTTCTCTGTGCATGTGCAAGAGTCCATTCTTGAACACAGACAAAATGACACACCTGAAAATAGAGTAGTTCTAAACTTAGTTGTGCCTACAGAGCTTTGGATTGTGGCTGCTTATTTTCTGTATAGTTCTAACAGATCAATTTTGGTTATCTGGATTTTGGTTATTATGAAAAATGTCAACATTGCTGTGTATTGTTATTTCCCATTATGCAAGGTAGTTATCCCTTGAGTATTCCTTAACACAGCAGTGAGTTAACAGTCAACACATCCCTATCGTCATATATAAACTCTACAGACAGTCGTAATTATTTTAGGGCGGATGAAGGGGATGTTTTTATGTATGTAGCAGATGAAATTTGGGAGTATAATTTTTTGTTGATCAGTTGAGTAATGCAGATATATAGTTCTCATGCTGAATTGTGGATAATGCAGATAATTTCACTTTTTGATTTGTTTTCCCTCGCTTCTAGCTAGCTGTCAGGTGGCTGGAACACAACTGCCGTTATCAGTACATGGATGAACTTCTCCAATATGTTCGGTTTGGGCTTATGGATGTGGATACATTGCATACAGTAGCCCTTTCTCACCCTCTTGTCCAAACTAGTGAAACTGTGATGGCACTGATCAACGAGGCCTTGGTGTATCACCAGAGCATCTATGCACAGCCAATTTGGCAGACCAAAAGGACAAAACCTCGCTTCCAGTCAGATACTCTTTACATCATTGGTGGGAAAAAGCGAGAGATCTTCAAAGTCAAAGAACTTCGGTATTTCAATCCTGTGGACCAAGAGAATGTTCATATAGCAGGAATGGCAAACTGGAGTGAACTGGCACCCATGCTGGTAGGAAGAAGCCACCACTGTGTGGCTGTAATGGGAGACTTCCTTTTTGTAGCAGGTGGTGAGGTTGAACATGCGACTGGCCGCACATGTGCTGTACGGACTGCTTGTAGATATGACCCTCGTAATAATTCTTGGGCTGAAATAGCTCCAATGAAGAACTGCCGAGAACATTTTGTGCTTGGAGCTGTTGATGAATACCTCTACGCAGTAGGAGGTAGAAATGAACTGCGTCAAGTTTTGCCTACAGTTGAGCGATACTGCCCCAAGAAAAACAAATGGACTTTTGTTCAGTCTTTTGACAGATCTCTTTCGTGTCATGCAGGATATGTTGTGGATGGTCTTCTCTGGATATCAGGTAGAAAATGACATACACACACAAGTTTTTCGCATACAACTTGGATGGACTGGTGATAAAATATTGAAAATAGATTTAATTTAGGGTAAAATGTCTGGAGAAAGTTGGGCCTAGCTCCCATACGAAAGCAAATCAGGTCAGAATGAAGAGTTGGCAGAGTGAATATAATGATTATGAGCAGTGGTTTCAGTAAAGTTTGGTATTCAAGTGATTATTTTTCTCAGTAACTAAAATTCATTATAAGGGAAGGAAATACTCAAACACCATTCAGTCAGTTTGCCAGGACAATTTTCCTTTTCATATTTGTGTCTTCACAGTTTGGCAGAGTCTCTGAAGGCAGTAAGATCCATCATTATTCTATGTCTTTTCCTGAAAATAGAAGTTAAAATTGAACACAAGAATGGGAGAAGGGGATGGACCGTGTGTGAGGGAGAGAGTTCTTTGTATGTGAAGTTGATAGGATTAAACTGGTTTAAATCCAGGTATACCAAGTTAACTCATTCTGAAGTAATTAAACTGAAAAATATTCCAAGCCTCATGAATCTTCTGCAGCATTGAAGTTACCTTGCTGTATTTGTATACAAACACACAAACCTCTTTGTTGCTTAAACAGCACTGGGTAACTGGTGTATAGTCAAGTCAAGGCCATGTAGGCCACACATGGGTTGTGGAAGGATTTTATTTGTTTGTTTGTTTGTTCGTTCATTCATTCATTTAACTTTTATATCACACATCTGGGTGGCATACAGCAAAGAACAAAAACACACAATAATCGTAAAACACCAACATAATAATAATACAATAACATAATGAAATGAAATGAAATGAACTAACTAAATAAAAAAGACAGCTACAATTAAACAAAACAAACTCTCATATTATCTCAAAATTCTAGGCCTCAGGCCTTTCTTGTGGTACGTATTACCTTTAGCTTTTGTTATATTTATATACAACCTATTTGCCCAAAGCTTTACCTGTCATAGTAATTAAAAAAATGTGCTGGAGGGCAACATGAGGGAGAAGGCTCTTCTTTTAATGGCCTGCTGTTCCCTGTAACCACACATAAGACAGGTTGGCCATCCAGATGTCTGAGGGAAACCCCAGCAGCAGCAGCAGCAGCAGCAGTAGTGCATGAAAAGCAACAGCAGCTTGCACCTAGCCTTCAGTGGCAAAAGGGTGGGCAACATTGGTTTCGCCTGTTGTGAGATTCCCTGACCAAGCCTGCCTTCCATCACTGCCAAATTTCCTGTGGCAATGGCAAAAGAGAAGCCATCTATCTTTACAACATGGCTTGTAGGGCCCATGGTGGGGGTAGTGTTGTTGAGTTGAATTGAGCTCCTAAGAGCATGTTCTGGCTTAAAAGTAAGGTAGCCACTTCCTACATATCTTGTTTTGAAATGGGAGGGGTGTAACCTCAGTAGATTTGGAGGGCTCATGTGCCTCCCAAAATCCTAGATGTTGGCCCCAATAGGAAGAACAATAACTCAGTCATTTGCATTGGATCAGAATATGTATATTTTAAAAATTATTTTACATGCGGAACATACATGTACTCTCTCTTTCTCACTTATTTCCCTCGCCAGCACAGAGCTTGAAACACTACTTGTAAAAATAATTAGGTGCCATTAGAGTTCTAAGGCCACCAAAGTAATAATCATTATAGTTGCAGTTTTTTAAAATTAGCTCTTCAAATTAAATTACTTTTCCTTAAAATTACAAAAAAGCTACCTTTTTCTGTTAATAGTAGTTTTAGTTATTAAAAAACATCTGGATATGGCAGCACAAGGTAGGTAGCATTTGAGCCATGTTATATTTATCCGGCACCATTTAGTGACGTTACACCCCATAACTATAAAGTTTTTGTTGTTTAGTCGTGTCCGACTCTTTGTGACCCCATGGACCAGAGCACACGAGGCCCTCCTGTCTTCTACTGCCTCCCAGAGTTGGGTCAAATTCATGTTGGTAGCTTCGGTGACACTGTCCAACCATCTTATCTTCTGTCATCCCCTTCTCTTCTTGCCTTCACACTTTCCCAACATCAGGGTCTTTTCCAGGGAGTCTTCTCTTCTCATCAGATGGCCAAAGTATTGGAGCCTCAGCTTCAGGATTTGTCCTTCCAGTGAGCACTCAGGGTTGATTTCCTTCAAAATTGATAGGTTTGTTCTCCTTGCAGTCCAGGGGACTCTCAAAAATCTCCTCCCGCACCACAATTCAAAAGCATCAGTTCTTCGGTGGTCATCTTTTTTTATGGCCCAGCTCTCACTTCCATACATCACTACAGGAAAAACCATAGCTTTGACTATGCGTGCTTTTGTTGGCAAGGTGATAAATAACCTTAAAAATATTACAAAATAGGAGTGATACACTTCATAACATTTGTAAAGTACCCACACCTTTATTATTGATAAAAGAACAAATTACAAGTAACTCATTATTTATAACTAGTTTCTTATAAGATTTTCCTGGCCAGATAGATAGATATTTTATTTCTTTTATTTGTCTCATTCATATCACCATTCTCCTGATGAGGAGACTCAAGGCGCTTTACAACTAATAATTACATAGAATAAGCATCCTTCAGTCTCGAGAGACTATGGTAACATGCTCTGAATTGAGTGTCCCCTCCAGAGCATGAAGCCTGGGTAAAGTAATATGGAGGATAGGCTGTTACCCAAGCAGCAAATGCCCCCTCTCCACATTGAAATGATCCAATGGAAAGGCAAGAGCCAATACAACTGGTCCCAGCAACATTGGCAGAATGACACGAACTGCCTTCGGGACTCCAGCTGCGGATTTTGCCTGTAGGTTAACTCCTGAAACCTTTTCCATGAGTGGATATAGCCACAAGGCAGTGGAGGTTTGAAATCAGAGTTTTCCTTCCCTAGATGGGCTGCCTTCCATGGCTGACGAGCCCCACCTACCCGAACTAATAATTAAAAACACAATAAATTATACTTATCCTAACTTATTATCTTTCTGTCTTATCTGCAAACCTGTCTACAAACGACACATGTGCAGAAAAGGAAAAACCAAATACAGTGGTGCCTCGCTTAATGATTTTAATTGGTTCAAAAAAACACATTGCTATGGGAAAACATCGCTAAGCGAAACACGTTTTCCCATAGAGATGCATTGAAAACTGGATAATCCGTTCCAATAGGAACGGATTGCCATCCTTAAGCGAAAATCGCCATAGGAAACATCGCTAAACGATACAATGTTTTCCCCATTGGAATGCATTGAAGCCTATTCAGTGCATTTCAGTGGTTTTGCGATGTCCGTTTTTGCAATTGTTAAAGTGTCTTAAATGTTCAAAAACTATTTTAAATGCTAGGAATCGTTAGTGCACCTTCTAAAACGTGTGCAAACTTAATTTGGCTTTGTTCTGATTCTTCGTTAATTTTTGATGATTTTTTTCTCCCCCATTGGAATGAATTGACCCCGATTTTGACAGCTGTCAAAATCGGGTTCAATGCATTCCAATGGGGGAGAAAAAAATTCGCCAAAACTTAATGAAGACTCAGAACAAAGCCAAATTAAGTTTGCACGCGTTTTACAAGGTGCTCTAACGAATCCAAGCATTTAAAACAGTTTTTGAACATTTTAAGACACTTTTAATATTGCAAAAATGGACATCGTTAAGTGAAACAGGGGACCCAAAACGCATTCACTATGTGAAGCATGGTCCCGAAATCGCTAAGTGAAAATCGCCCATAGGAAACAACGATGAACGATGCGGAAAATTCTTTAAAAAACCCCATCGCTAAGCGAATACATCGTTAAACGAGGCAATCGCTAAGCGAGGCACCACTGTATAATTCATTTCATAGGGGACAGTTCTCCCTGAACCTCACCTCAAATCAGGACTTTAGTGGTAATGTTCCATGAAGCAAAATCACAGGTCTGGAGCACTTTCCACATGAAGTTAGGTAACTGTTGTTTAAATTTTTGCAAAATGGAAGTGGCAGGATACCACTGAAATTAGCATACAGCATGTCTTAAAATAGGCAAAACAACATACTCACATGTGCACAATTACTGTGGGGATACTTGTGCTAATCCAGCAACAATGCCTAAGAATATAATGGTGTTTAGAAAAGGACTCATGGCAATAGACGGCAAGGTGCTCCTTCCAAGGCTAAGAACAAAAGCAGAACAATGGTATACTGTGTTGGTAGGGCATTTGGGGGCACCAAAACATAGGATACGATGCTGGTGGACCATTGTTGCAAAGTACTATAGTTTTTATATTGTACAGTTATTTATCCCAGTAGTTATATAAACTTAGCCAGCAATCAGCAAACCACAATTTTTACATTTACTGATGCATTTTTTCCAGCTGCATTTGAAAGCCTATGAGCTATTTACAGGTTGCTTGACTTCTAAAAGACTTTATTATAGACTCTATTTTTAAATGCATCCTGATACCATCTCTCTCCTGGCATTACCATTCTCTTTCTCCTTTTGGAAAGCAGCACAGAGAAGTTAAAGCAATTGCCTTTTTGATTGTCCCATTTTATGATGGAGAACATCACTTTTTTCTGATACCATTTAATCTTCTATTTCTCCACTTTTTTTTTTAAAAAAAGACATTTTATTTCTGTTCTTCCATTGCCTAAAGTATGCTTAAAGTGGTCGCTCAAAGGGGCATGATGGGCTTGTTAAATGTGAATTTGGGTAGGATTTAAAGGGGAAAAAAAACACCCTGAAACTTTCATTATAGCACATCAAAGTTAGGATAAACTTGGTTTGCAGAATTGATGCTGATAGGAAATGGCATAGTTAATGGCAGATGAATCTATAGAAAGCTGTTAAGATGCATATTATCCCCCTGGGGAGAAGGTGGAGGGTGGAGTGGAGGAGGGGGGAAGAGAGGGGAGATCAGAATTGCCAATCTATAAAATATACTTGTTGGCGGGGAAGGCATTGAGTCTCTCTCTGCAAAGGCAGTGATTGCAGGGGGCAGCGTAGCAGCATGTGGCAGCCTAACCTAAGAGCAGACAAATCAGCTTGATGACTTTCAAAGCCAAGAATTCTGCTGGAGGCAAGGGTATTTGATCTAATGGAGAGGGGGAGGGATTAAAACATATAGAGACTGTTATTAATTCCACTCCACTTTTTGTATAGTCAAATCTGTATGCAAATCCATAGCATCTCATTTTGATAGATGAATATATATATTTTAAAAAAAGATGAGATGGGGAAGGCAGGATGCAAAGAGAACGTGATGGTTCTTATGTATTTGAAAAACTAAACTTGCAGACAGAGAGGATCCTAATTATAATGAAATGCACTTTCAGGTCAGGGTTTCATTGGACATTATCCAGCAGGAACGTGTCTTGTGTAAGCACGATTGGGCTCTGTATAAGTCTTATTTATTAGAGGAAATTTGCTAGAGGTTAGCCTTGATTCGGAGAGAAAACAGATGAAGTTTCACTCATGTGTTCTTTAAAATTAGTAGAAAATAGTTTGTATTCTTTCAGCCATACTGTCTTTGGGACTGTTTTTTCTTTCGGTCCCTCTTAGCTCTCAGACCCTCTTCCCTTGTGTTCGCCCAGTCTCCCTGCTTCTGCCAGTAGCTTTAATTTTATCATATCTGTAATACTTTCAGACGTGTTTCCCTAGTCCAAACTGACCACTAAAAAGCCCTCCTTAACATCTCTTTCCTTTATAAACGTCTTTTGCCCACCAAGCTTGAACAGGCAGCCCAAAGCAAGACCCCTCTTCCGAAAAAGTGTGACTGAACAGAACTTTGTTCTCTTCTTGACAACATCATCAAATAGCATATGTTGCTACTGTAAATACTTCTATCCTGGTTAGTGTATTTGCCTGATAAGCTTTCTATTGGGTTATGGCACAGGGGGAGAGATTAATTTCTTTTTCCTTCTGCTGTGCTTCCAATACCTTCTCCCTCTCATTCTGCGTTTGCTGTTGTTGTTAAGTTGACCAAATAGAACTAAGCCTAATGTCTGTTTTGCACCTGTCTGTATGTAAGTGCTGTGGAAAATGGTGCATGAAAAAGCTGCAGTCCTCTTTAAAGCACCCTGCAGGGGGAAAAAACACATTATGTTACACTGAGGAGGGCAAGATGGCTTTCCAAATAAGGTTGGCTTTCAGTTCCCATTGGCCATGAGAAATTATATGTGATGGGTGGGTGTGTCCATGGGTGCTTCACAAGAATGTGAACTATTTTGCACAGCAATGGTTTGAGGCACTTGAAGCAGCATTAGCTGATGATTGTCTGGTTACTGGAAGAATGAGAGGACTGGGAAGTGGAACCTGCCAGAAGTCATATGTTCTGCAAACAACGTGGCAAAAAATCTGCAGAATGGTTTCCTAATAGTAGATAATATACAGTTTGCTTTGATGTACTTTGAATTGTGTTTACTTTTCATGTAACACTGTAAATATTTATTACAGGAGGCGTAACAAATACAGCACAATATCAGAACAGACTAATGGTCTATGACCCTTCACAAGTAAGTTTATGTACTACAGATATTTGCTTGCATGAAGAAATCTTACAGCACACAGTCCAATTATCACCACACATTGCCTTGTCTCATGATGGGGGAACCCACTTTCCCCCAAAGTAGTCCAGTGGGCATCCCCACAGACTCAAGGCAGATTTGGTCTCCCCCCAGGCTCAACTATGTTTGGGTACAGCTCACTAGAGCACTCTTGGGATTGGTGTCCTTCTGCATTGCACATTTTTCAAGCTGCGGGTTTCTAATAACTTGCATACAATGGAGAAAGAATGTAGCTGGAAAGAGATAATAGGGACCTAGGAAGGGCCCTTCTACAGAGTCAGGCCACCTTGCCCAGTATTGCCCAGTCTGACTGGCATTAGCTCTCCAGGCAGGATACCTTGCATCCCTGGTGGTCTCCCAACCTGTCCCTACATAGTGTCTAAAATTGGACAGTCTCAGGTGCGTTCTGGGTGGTAGTGGGGTGCAAGGAGGCCCACCATGGATGGGCAACTTTGGCAAGTCTGCAGTGTGATTTTATGTTCAAGAAGCTCTTTGGGAGCCACAAAGACCACCAAAGCACAAAAATGGTATGTGTGGTAATGGTGACAAAAACAAAACTCCAGAATACTGGAAGTCACTTCAAGTTCAAAAATTATTANAGTATGTTTAAAATGTGAAGCATTGCTGCGAGAGCAATATTTCACTTTGGGGGGGCATGAATGACCAGATTCAGGGGGCACAAAGATTGGGGGGTTGGTTGAAGGTAAGCTCCTTGCAGTTTGGGCTGCAGTTTGTCCATCCCTCAGGGTAAAGACTGTTCTGCCTACATATCCTCTCAGGACCTCATCTGTTCTATTTCTCTCTTGGGGAGCTCTCTGCAGATGGGATGTTTTGTACCCTTGTGTGGGGTATAGATTATATGTAAGAATTATGTGTGTGCATTGATTGTTTTTAAGTCTTCTGCTGAGATGAGCATCTTGGAGAGATCTTGCCTTTTCTAGCTCAGTTCCTTGGGATTCCGTAATTGGAAGTCCAGTTGGAGAATTGAAGCTTGCACCTTTTGAACTGGAGATTGGAAGTTTGATTATTTAAGCAAGCCAAATGTATCACTAAGCTAGAGCCCCTTAAACATATACATGTTAATTTACAAGTAAACCACAGACAATTAGAAGCCAGGTGAACCAATGGCTATAGCTGGCATAGGGTTGCCATATACATATAGTGTACATTCCAATCCCTTTCTTTTACACAAGAAAGGCCTATAATGATTCCATATTCAGACATAATAAGTCAATGCAGTTTATTGAAGAGTTCTGGTTTGCTCTGTGGCATTCCAGTAGAAATCTTCTGAGGCTGAGGCTACTTCATGTACCTTAAATAATTGGTTTTGGTAGGGCTACAGATGATTGCTTATTTTGTTCTTATAAACACAAATGAAAAAAAAATTAAAATAAAAAAGTTCACCCCCCCACCTGAGTGAGATTGAGTATTTTTGTGCACTTTTCGTAGTTCAGCATTTTGAGAAAAAATTGCATGTTTTGTGCAAGAAAGCTTTGTATTTTGCGCAAAGTAAAAGGTTTCCAATGCATAGCACCAGAGTTTCACATAGAAAACCATGAATGCTTTTGCTGACAAAAAACAATTTTTTTACTGTTCTGCAGTAACAAAAAATCATGCAGCAGTTGCCAGTTTTTTCCCCAGTATCCGAGAAGATAAAATTTGCATGTACTCCACAAAACTCAGTTGGTGACTTGGGGTCAGTTTTTCTCTCTCACTCTGACCTACCTTATAGGGCTGTTGTACAGATTACATGGGGAGGAAAGCTGTGCTGCCTGCAGCACACGGGAATAAAGGTACAGTAGGATGTAAATGTATGTAACAATTTAATTATAAAAGTGAAATCACAGTGAAGGCAATGTGTGTCTTATTCTCCACTCACCCTTTGTGTAGTTGTAAAAATCATGTTAGGTCGAGAGAGGGCTGGGTTTAAATCTTCACACAGCCACAAACTCACATGGTGAGCTTGGGTAGTCATTCCTTCTCAGGCCTCCTCTTCACTGCAAGGGCTTTGTCAGACATGGTCTAGAGGGGTGGGGTATAAATAAATAAATAAATAAAGAAAGAAAGAAAGAAAGAAAGAAAGAAAGGGATCTGGAAATCACCTCTTAAGCTCCCAGACAGAGACATGGGACACAAATGAGGTTAATTTTCAGCTCACACAGAAATAAATCTGTAAGTCTACAAAGTGCTAAAACTCTTGTTTTTCTTATCAATATAGTAGTAATTTATTTACATGAAAGAAGTACATTTGGTGGAATTTGCCATGTGGTTGGATGTACATTGCACTGCATGTATGCCTCCATGCTTCCATTCATCATCACTGGAACAGACAAAAAATGCAGCATGTCATTTTCCTGCATCCCTGCCAAGAATGTCAAACGGAGTCCTGGAAATATACAATGCTGAGATAGTATAGCACAAGGCAAATTCCACCATATTTCACTTCTTTTAACTACTGTACAGTACATAGATATTTTTGTTCCATGTTTCCTTCTAGGAGCTCAGGGTGAAGATGATATGCATGGTTTTAAATCCATTTTATCCTTAAAGATTGTAAGAAGTTTGGTGGCAGGAATTTCCTTTTGAGTTACTCTAATTTCTCATTCCTGCCAGACATGGCACATTCCTGCTTCTCACCACAACTTGGCAGATAAATGGTGATTTATGGCTTCAGGAAAAGAGCTTGAATCCCTAGTACAGTAGTGACCTCTCCTTAATCCTGTGTTTATATAGAAACACAAGTTTCTTCTTTGTGGTCTCTGTGAATGCATACTAATGGGTTAATCTGCACCTGTGCAGAGGTTTCTGGAATCTTCTAGAGCTTAACACTCGTTTACCAGAACCGCCCCCTAGTGCAGTGGTCTGCCCGTCCTGGCTAGTGCCTCAGTTCCTTTTTGCCACCGCTGAGGTTCCTTCTCTCAGACAAGCTGCGTTCACCCCCTGCTTTGAAAAAGGAATTTTCTTGTTAAGAAATCTTCGGATAGTGAGATTTTTTGTTATTCCTTCCTTCTGCCACCCCCCCGAATCCCCTTTCTTTATTTGTAAATTTTTTATGGCATCCTCTGGACTGTTTAAATGGTGCGCTTTGTGTCCCAATAAAATCCCATTCACCGACGGCCACGATTCCTGCCTTTTTTGATTGGGCGAAGCTCACCAACCGGCTTATTGCCCTTTTTGTAAAAAGTTTACAAAAACAGGCACTTAAGCTAAGGCAGCAACACCTACGATCTTATTTGTGGGAACGTTCCCTTTGTCCCATGTCAACTGTGGAAACTGCACCACCTTCTCAGGTTCAATCGGTTTCCCCAGGAGCCTCGATTGCATCTTCGACAAAATCGAAATCTAAGTCTAAGACCATCACTAAGTCTACCATGGGTGCTTCAGCACCAAAGTCTACAGCAGTACTGAAGTATCCTCCGGTACTGGACAAACAGTCCAAACCAAAGAAGCCTAAGAAATCGTCCTCTTATTCTCAATCCTCCAAACACCAGAAGGACAAGATGGCCTCTTCCATCCAGTTACAAGAGCCGCAAACTATTTGCCTCAATTCCATATCTGTGGAAAATGACCATTCTCTGCCTCCACCTTCAGGCCAACCACCTTCGCCTCTTTTGGCTCAGTCCCCCTCATGGGCTAATACTTCGGTTAAGGTTATAGTACTGCCTTGCTATGACCACTCGACCCCTTCGGGTTGCTCTGTCTCCGAGTGTCAGTCAGATTCAGCTTCCATCGCTGATCCACAACCTCCACACAAGCAGACCCGAAAGGCACACCATACACCAGAGACTGGTCCTACTGATGTCGACGCACCACTTCCACAGGCGTTGACAGGATTACTTGCATCCCATGATTCACTTTCACAGCACCGTCATGCCAAGAGGGTTACCCTCTATGAGCCACCGGCATATTATGAGCTCCCGCCACAGCGATACCATCACCGTCAATACTGGTATTGGTGTCCCAATATAGAGGTTTATATGGAGCCTAAGCGCCCTCAGTACTCCTACTACTATTCCGATTCTGGTTCTGGCTCTCCTCTTCCATGCCAACTGCAGTACCATGATCAGTCCTCCTCGGCAGATCACTCCTCAGCATACGGAACGGATTAAGTTCTCAAGTCAAGACCCCACTGTACTATTCCGGTTCTGGTTCTGACTCTCCTCCTCCATGTCAACCGCAGTACCATGATCAGTCCTCCTTGGCAGATCACTCCTCAATACCAGTACCAATACCGAGAGCTCAGAAGTCCTCCAGAAAGAGGAAGCATGCCTCACCTCCTTCTTTTACTACACTGGTACTGAAATGTGTTAATCTCAAGTCAAGACCCCACTGTACTATTCCGGTTCTGGTTCTGACTCTCCTCCTCCATGTCAACCGCAGTACCATGATCAGTCCTCCTTGGCAGATCACTCCTCAATACCAGTACCAATACCGAGAGCTCAGAAGTCCTCCAGAAAGAGGAAGCATGCCTCACCTCCTTCTTTTACTACACTGGTACTGAAATGTGTTAAACTATCCTCCAATTTATACGAAACTCATGGAGACAATACGGCTTTTCTATCCAAGCATCCGCCCTCAAACTCGGTCATAGTCGATGCAACTCAAAACAAAGCAGGAAACTTGACATCATTGGATGTCGGGTATACTCCCTAGAATTCTTTACATTACGCGCTGCTAACTACCTTGTAGCCATGGGTGCATACTACCGTTTTTTATGGAACAAAGCACTTCCTTCTCTTCAATTGGCTAAGAATGAATATAAATCTAGAGGCCTCACTTTCCATCAAGAGACCATGGCTGTCGCACTCCAGGAGCGCATCACAGCAAGGCACGTAATAGAAGCTACTTTGAAGTACATGGCCACAGCCATTGCCATTCAAAGACATGCTTGGCTCCGCTCAGCTCATATCTCGGATGATTCTTTAACTTTTATCAGTATGTGGACTGTC